TCTTGCATTTTAAAAGAACGTTTCTAAATTTCTTGTTCTTTTTTTTTTTTTGTTCAATTCGAATTTTTCGTAAAAAGATGATGTACTGTACTCAAAAAGTTAAAAAATCGAGATTATTATTATTTAAGTCGAACCACCTTTGTCATGATAGTTAAAGTAATGATTAGCTGGCGGAGATTGTCTAGAAATAAAAATATAATCTTCTTCTTCTTCGTCAATATCCATGTCATCCCATTCATCAATACTACTTGAAGAACTAACAATACTACTACCATCATCCCCAATATCTGCAAACCTAACTTTATAAGCGGATGAAATCCTTCGATGTCGATGCACTGATGATGTTGAAGCAGAAGATTTCGGTGAACCATAACCGTACAACATTTCTTCATCTGCGTCCACTAAAGAGGATGTAGAAGAGTATGAAGAGGATAAAGAAGGAGTTCTCGTCATATAACCACGGTGAGTAGGTGTAGGTGTGGTGGCCGAAGAATGTAAGTATGTATCAAATGATGGAGGTTTTCGTAAATGTTTAGGTGAATGACGACTTCCTTTTCGATTACTTTTTTGTTTTATTGGTAAGACGAAAACACCTGTTGCTATCGGTGAAGATGGAGAAAACATTGTCGTAGTTGTTATAATTGGTTTACTTGATGTGGGTTTTAATATAAGTTTTGGTGTAAGACAAGTAGAAGTCTTAATATTCTTTGTATTTGATGTCATTTCCAAGTTAATGATTAAAAAAAAGCGATTATTGCTTTTTTAAAAAAGAAGAATAATAAAAATAAAAATAATAATAAAAATTTGTTTTAAATTTAAAAACAAAAATTTAAGCGCAATACCTATTTTTATTTTTTTTAAGACAAGTTGAAGTTCTGTCTCTTATACACATCTAGATGTGTATAAGAGATAACGATAATAATGATAAAAAAGTTTTTTATAAACGAAGTTAAATTACTACTTACAAAAATGTTGAAAAAAAAAAACGATTAGAGTTGGATATTTTTTGATGTTAATGATAAATTTATGTGAATTTGTATGATTGATTTGTTGTTAAATGATTTAAATTGAAATAATTGTTCGTGAAAATAAAATCATTATACTAAATTATGTTGATATATATATATACATATATATATATCCGACGGTAAGAAGAGAGAAAAATACTAAGTCGATGTTATGTACAAAAAATTTTTTTTTTTTTTGGAAGTTCGTATTTTAATCTCTAAGCTCGGAACCTTTTTTTTTTTTCTTTTTTTTT